TGTTCATCGTATGGTACGATCGCGTTCGTATAGTACGATGTTTAAATTTTAATTAGGCCTGGATTACATGCACTAATCACGGGTTAATTTAAGTAAGTATTAAAAACGTATCGTACAGTACGAACCAGTTTGTACAGTACGAACGGCGCAAAATCACTTACTTAAACTAAGTCACGGCTAAGGTTTTGGATCTGAACATATCGTACAGTACGAAAGACTTCGTACAGTATGAGCTATTCACAGAATTGTCCACATAGCTTGGATCGTACGGTACGAAATAAAATCGTACAGTACAATCTCCAGAGAAGAATTTTAGTTATATTTTGTAGTTAAAAAAGAACTCTCCCCCTGTGTGTGTGCATGGTTGCTCTTACTCTTACGCATTTTGTGGCCAGACTCAATAAAGTAAAAATACAATAAATGAAAAATACAATGTTTGACTCATACTCCTAATCTACCCGGTCTTGAGTCTTCCTTTCTTCCTGAGTCACTTGTGATCTTCCTGAAATGTTAGTGCTCAAGGAAAATAACAAATAAAATAATAATCAATGAAAAGCAGTTCCAAAACACTCATTATTTGGCATTATCAAAATCTCAAACTCGGGGTCATGGGTTGCAACAAGAATAGCAGATTTGATGAGATCCAACTTTCCTGGAGCTAATATGTACCATCTTCCCCACACATTCAATTCAGCTGAAACTTTATCCAGTAAATGAAGGAAATCACTATGTTTTAATCACCTTAATGTCATTTTCACACCCAGGTATTGTAGCTCCCTGAATTCCTTGAAATTCAAAATCTTCCTGATACGTCTTCTACATCTTCTAGCCACTGAATTACCGAACATAATGAAAGATTTTTCCTTGTTTATATGCTGACCCGTCAAATAGCAATATTTTTTAAGAATGTTTTGAATCTGCTTCACCTCATCAACCTTTGATGCAAATAGAATTAGAATGTCATCCGCATACATCAGATGGCTTATCTTGGGAGACAATGGAGCTAATATAATTCCCATATTTCTTCCTTTCTGTTTAAAGGCATTGGTAAGTAGTTGAGAGCATAAAATGAAGAGAAAGGGAGATAGAGGTCAGCCCTGTCTAAAGGCGCTCTTCCCCTTAATCCACTCAGAACCAACTCCATTAATTATGATAGAGAAATAAGGATCAATAACACATTCCATAAGAATCTTTGAAAATCTCCAAGGAAAGCCAAAACAATGAAGAGTTTGTTTAAGTATATCCCAAGCCATACAATCGTATGCTTGCTCCATATCAATTTTAATAGAAACAAACCCTATTTTAGATTTTGAGAATCTGAATTTGTGAAAGATATCTTGTGTAAGGAGGATGTGATCAGATAATGTTATGCATTTGATGAATGTCGATTGAACATCCATCACAAATGAGTTAATCACTTTCATCAATCTATTCAACAAGACTTTAGCAACAATCTTGTAAATAGACAAACAGAGACTGATTGGTTTGAAAGTGGAAGGAAGAAGAGGATTTCTCACTTTAGGAATAAGAACTACCAAAGTCTCTTTCCATTTAGAGCACATTTTGCTCAAAGTAAGGAATAGTTAAATAGCACTCCATACATCTTATCCTATCAATTTCTAGTAAGCTTTAATAAAAGAGAAAGAAATGTCATCCTTACTAGGAGAGATGTTATTACCAAGATAAGATACCACAGCTTCAACTTCCTCAAATGTAAATTCTTGAACAAGAAGACTACATTCTTCACTGTTGAGCACTTTCGTTGGATTCGGCCATCCATTCAAATGGCAATCCCTGTGTCTCCATTTTTTTCCCAAAGTAATTGAAGAAAACATCTATGATAGCTGAAGAATCTTCCACAAGATTTCCTTCTTCATCTTTTATTTGCTTGATGATATTTCCATTTCTTCTTCCATTAGAAAAAGCATGGAAAAAATATGAGTTTAAGTCTCCTTCCTTAAGCCATTTCACCTTGGCCCTTTGTCTCCACCAAGTATTCCATCTAGCTAGAGTCACATTTAACTCATTGATTTTAGCCCTCAACACCCAAAGATCATCCTCCCTGAAGTTGTTGCTGTTGGCTTCCAAAATTTGTAATTCTTCAATTTCCTTTTTCAGATTATCCTTGAGTTGTAATAGATTTTTGTGTTTGGCTTTGCTCCAAAAGAATAAAGCTCTAAGGGATCTATAGAACTTTTTGTTAAGACCAACCACCCAGCTCCAAGAGTTTTTAACAACAGTAAAGGACGTTATACATCTTCAAATCTCAAAAATTTACTGTGAGCAATATCACATCAATTATTCTTAAAATAATGGGACAATGATCTGAAGCAACCCTTGGTAAGTGTCTAACCAAGGCAAGGTGGACCACCTCCAAAGCTTTTGAATTGAGTATGCATCTATCCAATCTTTCAAGGATTATTGCATTGCCCTTCATGTTGTTACACCAAGTAAACTTAGGACCTATAATCCGCACATCATGCAAATCATAGTCCATCATAAAGTTCTTCATTTCCATAGGCCCTTGGGAGAATCTAAACTTCTTCCCACCTTTTTTCTCTTCATGAGAAATTATACAATTGAAGTCACCCCCAACCATTAAAGGCAAATCTAAGGAAGAATGCCTTCCCACCATTTCCCAAACTTCTTTCTTTTGAGAACATTATGACTTCCATAAACAATGGATACAATCCACAATCCTTTATCACCAATATTCAGCTCCCCCACTACTCCTTGATCAGAGGCTTCCAATAGATAAAAAGAAGCCACCTCCGTCTTCCAGATAACCAGAATTCCACCTAACATTCCAACCGAGGGAACCATGAAAAAATCCCAGTCTACTCCCATAAATTTGTTGAATTCACTTCTACTAAGATTAGAAATCATAGTTTCTACTATTCCCACAAAGAAAATGTCCCATTGCTTCACAAAGTCCTTAAAATATAAGGAGGCTTCTATTTTTTTGGCCCCCCTACATTTCCAAAAGGCTAAGGAACTCATCTATCCCCAAAAGCGGGAAGGACCCCCACTCCTTTTCTTATTTAACCCCTTCTTCATTATTGAGTCTATTTTAAAAGGTCCTAAAGACCTCAACTCTATAAGTAATTTTGGTTTATTACAGTCAGTGGCCTGATCAGGTCCTCCTTGACATTTTAATGAGACATTATCATCAGTTGGTTTCTTATCTACATTCTCTGGATCGACAACCAAACCTTCAGATTCTATAATCTGAACATCAATCATCTCCCCTTCCTCAATTATTAATTCAGCATCAACAACAATTTCTTCAGATTTGTGATCCATATTGTTATCCTCATCTCCAAGAAAAGCCAAGATATTAAAACTATTGTTTACCTTCATTGTAGTCTCAAAAGAATTACCATCTTTGTTCTTCTCCCTTTAAACAATTTGAGTAGAGTTAACTTCCATCCTCGATTGTTCCTGAGTATTCTGATCAATCATGACATATGATAGATTTGCAGGGTTCTTCAATAACACTTCAACAACATTTTTTTGTGGAGGCTTCACCTTCACAGTTTCTACTTTCCTATAAACCTATTTAGAACTTGGAACAACTCCAATTTTTATAGTATTCTCCACTTTTTTGAGTTCCTTTGTTGAAAAAATTTGCTCTTCTCCTATTAACCAGCATCCAGGGACCATACTTTACTTCAACTGAAATTGAGATTATCTGATCATCCACCTGAGTCTTTGAAGTAGAAGGATTCCTCTCTATCATTTTGACATTTTCCATTGTCTTTTTAAGAACACAAGCCTTGTTAAGATGTCCCAGCTTCCCATAATTAAAATAGATAGTTGATACTTTCTTGTATTCTACTTTTTGAAAGAACCGACCATGCAAATCATCAACCCATACTCCCAATGGCAATTGCTTATCAAGTTCAATTCTCACACATACCCTTGCAAATTCCCTCCTCCCCCATTGGATCATGTCTCCATCAATGAGAATAGGGACTCCAATCAACGAAGAAATCCTTGCCACATTTACTTCATCCCAACAGTAAAGAGGTAGATTGGGTAATCTCACCCAAATGGGAGAAGACAAACCTTTCAATGAATCAGTAGTGAATTTTAGGATCCACTTATCTATACCCACAATGTGACCCTTCACGAACCAAGGTCCACTTGATAGCACCTCCTCAACTGCTTCAGTAGTGAAGAACGAGCATAAGCACCATCTCGAACCGAGTATAGTAAGATGGAATTTTCCAAACTTATCCCATTGTCGTTGTAGTTCATCAGCTATCACTTGGATTGAATTGAATTCCGCAAAAACTTTGATCAACACAGATAATTGATGCTTTTTTGAATTGATTTCCACATTTGCCTCAAATAACTTCACTGTCAGCCCATCTTCAGTCAAGAAATTCTCTATTTTTGACATATCGACCTTAATATAAGGCCTTTATTCCACATATTCTTCTAGGCATCTCCCCTCCCTGCTTCTTCAATTGTATTGGTTCTCAGTGCATTTCCATCATTAGGTTCAGACGGGGCATTAACACAAACATCTGAATGCATAACCTCCTTAGATTGGACTGAAGTAGCACCATCTATCATGAAATAAGGTTTAGAGAAGAATCTTTTCACCAGTAATTTCATATTGGACGATGAAGAACCAATTTCTGTTGGCTTCTGCTCCACATCCTTCATCGGAGAAAATTACTGTACAAGTTTCACTTTTCCCATCCCCAGAACTTGAGGAGGAGAATTACACGCAAAATCCAATGGATCCCTTATAACAAGAGGCGCATTAACACATTTCAGTCTTGGAAAATCCTCATCCAATGATGCAGCAGAGACGTTGGAAAAGGTGCGAGTCGACCTAGATAGAGCAATCTAGTCATTCCAGCCATCATCGTCTGCCAGCAACAGGCCATCCATCTTGTGTGAAAATACCTCCAACAGTTAAAATAGAGGAAAATTTGAAAAAGATCATTCAAAAAATGGGAGTCTCTCTCTCTCTCTAACTTTCTCTCTACAAACTCAAGACTGATCATTTTTAAAAAAATTGAAAAAGATATGGGGCCTTCTCGTTGTGGGTGACTTAATAAGAAAAGCAAAGGGAAACGATCCGAACCAAGCCGTAAGAGGTGCCTCACTTCAAAGTCCTGCAAATTATCCAAGAGCAAGGAATTTAAATAATGCAAAATTCTTTAAATATGAAACAATGCACTAGAGATGTTCAACAGAAAGTTTAGTTGATAATTAGTTACATTTCTTTAATCAGATTAAATGCCTTTTCTTGTTCTTTCGCCCACTTAAACGAGATATTTTTTTCTTGATGAGTTCAGTGAGAGGAGTGGCTAAACTACTATAATCATGCACAAACTATTTATAGAAGCAAGCTAAGACATGGAAACTCCTCACTTAGTTGATTGTTGTAGGCATTGGCCAATCTTGGAATTCCTTGATGTTTTAATCATCCACCTCAATTCCTTTCTTACTATAAAAAAAAACACAAGCTTATCTATGCAGAAGATTCACTTGTTGAGGTTAACAAATAATATTTCTTTCTTTAGAGTTTTTAAAATAGATTTAAAATGCATTTCGTGTTCTTCCAAGTTTTTACTATAAATTAGAATATCATCAAATTACACAACCACAAATAATCCAATAAATGCAAATAAAAAATGATTCGTCAAACACATGAATATGCTTGGAGCATTAACTAAACCAAAAAAGGCATAATTAACCACTCATACAAAATCTATTTAGTTTTTAAAACTGTTTTCCATTCATCACCTTTTTTCATCCTATTCTAATGATATCAATTTATAATATTAATTTAAAAAAACACATAAACTATGCAATTCATCCAACATATCATCTAATCTAGGAATGAGATGATGATATTTTATTGTTATGTTATTGATAGCTCGACAACTCGATCGGGATCCCTCTATCCCTTTATTATATTGTATATTATATATATTTTAATATAATAATATAATGTTATATATTATATCATAATATATTATATATGTTATATCAAAAATAATATATTATTATATATATTATAATAAAAAAATAAGAAAGGAAAGAGAAAAAAGAGAAGCAAGAATGAATGATGGAATTTGTTAAACAAGTGTTGAAGACCTCGCATCGTCGACTTGAAGTCCGGCAGAGATAGCTAAAATTTGAAGACCCACGACATATATTTAGATCTGCGTTGATAGTTTTAAATTTGAAGTCCCCGGACTGTCGTATCTTAGTCCGGCCGGGATGGTTCTAAATCAAAAACCCTAAGCCATCACCTTAGGTTCAAGTAGGAAGGAATTACGGCAAGCATCTTCCCAATTTCTTTCTTAGTGAGGAGGGGACGTCGAGAGGCTGTCAAAATTTTAGGAAAATTACAGAAGTTTTTGAAGTAATTATAGATTAATTAAATTTGAATATTTGAATAATCAATTAAAAATGTTTAAAATTAATTGATTAATTGATTATATAAAATTTAGGAGGTATCTAAAATACAAAATCATTTTAAATTCGAGAGCATTTTAAATTTGAGAACATTTCAAGTCCATGAGCTATTTAAAATATGAAAAATTTTAAAATTCAGGAGTTATTAAAATACAAGGGCATTTCAATTTCGAAAGTTTTAAAATACAAGAAATTTAAAATTTTATTTGATTAATTAGTTAATTAATTAATTAATCAACTAAGCGGATATAAAATAAAATACAATAAAAAATATATGCTTTCACTAATTAATATTCATAAATGACACTCTACTCTCCAACTCTATGAGCTCTTTACAGACTGCTCACAATTCAAATAAGTATAAAATAACTCTCCAAATATTGTAATAAACAATACAACAAACATCTATACATATTGCTCTCCAAAGTCCTCCCAAACAAATAACTCTAAAGCTCTCCAACAACAGTTCAAAGTTAAATTCTCAAACTCTCTAACAACAATTCAAATTAAATCTCCCAAACTTTCAAACAACAACTCAACTATCAACTTTAAAAACACTCAACAAACTCTCCATAACAAGGTTTCAACTCTCCTATTAGAGATCTCTGCAAACAAAAGAGTGAAGTTCATTAAACATTGGAATAAATCAATATTTAAATAAATGCTAAAATAGAAAATACTACTGGTAAAATGCTACTAGTACACAGGTACTGAAAAGAAGCTACCAAATGGTAAGAAAAAAGTACTATAGTAAAAATTCTATTGTAGCAAAGTACTGTAACAAAACACTAAGTGTCAAACAACTGATGTGAACTCAACAAACATACAATCAAATATAAATAAAATCTTTGGGCAGCCTTATTTATAAGAACTTGGTTGTATGACCCACTACCCAGCAACTTTCAAAGGAAAGATGTAAGCCCAACCTTAGGGAATGGTTTTAGGTAAAATTTACCTAACCCCTAACCCCCGATTAAAACACCGTTCACTTCTAATAGAAGTCGTAAGTCTGACATCTGAGAGAAATGTTTAGGTAATAACACAACTATATACTCCTTGCCCAGGCATTTTAGTCTATTGGACTTGGTTATAAGAACCACAACTCGAGCCTCTTTGCTTACCAGGCTAGGTTGTTTAACCCATTATTAGGCAACTTCTAAGGAAGCACTAAGACCTATCTAATTAAAATTTGCAAGCTACCTCTGGTAGAGGCTGTGAGTCCCACTAACCTGAACATTTTCTAATGAAAGCTATAAGTCCCTATATAAATCTAATCACACGAACAACTCTTGTTGAAAAATTCAGGAAAAATCCTCTAAAGAGAATTTCATATTTAAATAATGCTTTGAAATACAATAATTATGATATTAATCGCATGTCAAAAGCATGTGGAATTTCTATCATAAAATCTTTTACAAAACACACAAATTTCATGGGCATCTTAGTCTAAAAGTTTAAGTTGTAATACTCGCTTTTGAGGCAACTTCCTAAGGAAAATCATAAGACATACCCAAATAATAAAAATTCCTAGCCATCTTGCTATAGAGTTAGGTTGTAAGACCCATCTTTGGGTAACTCATAAATAAAGCAGTAAGCCCCATTGCAAATCAAAGAGATAGGAAATTTTCTAAGAAAGCCATAAGTGCCAACCTAAATTTAAATCCCCATGCTACTTTCTACAAAAGTCATAAGTCCCAACATAAATCTAAGTCCAAACACCTAGGCTACTTCCTAAAGAAGCTATAAGACATGCTCAAATTCAAACTTCTATGTTACTTCTTAGCTAAGTCATAAATCCCAAACTAAATCAATTTCTTGGTATTCTCATAGATGTAAACCCTAAAACATCCAATAAAATTAAAACAAATATCTAACCATTTCAGCCTTCTTGGGATCCCTGAGAGGGGGCAACCCATGGTTGTTAATCAGATTCCTGGACACTACAGTCAATAATTGTTAGTATTGGTAGACTGAAATCTATGGTATACCTGGAACCATGGAACCATGGGATATTGATATGGTTTACATCCATTTCGTGCACTATTGAGATTAAAATTGCTTAAAAATTATTTCATCCTTAATCGAGAGTTCTCTCTTATGTGTTAAGAGGGGTAATTAACTGCTCATGGAATGTATAAGTCCCAGATCTTTAAACCCTGACACAACCCTTACGGGAAATCTTGTTTATTATTATCTGACTTAAGAGAAATGGAATCCTACGGCTGCAAAGTGTGATTCATGCATGCGTGCCATTTTTCTTAAGCTAACAGATTTCTGGCGACTCTGCTAGTGATTACTTTTCTTTCCATCTTTGGATGAAAAGATAATTTTTAGTCTCAATTATCAAATATCTAAAATTATATATATATATATATATATATATATTCATCTAAAGCTTATGTTTTCTCTTACAGTAGAATTCAGGAAGTTCTGAACACAAGCTATGTTGGAGCGACCATTCAATTTAGAACTATTTTTGAAGTCATGCAGTTTCAACAGTTCCTTTCTGAGAATACTGTTAGTGTACCTACTATCAAAGGTGTCGTTAAGAAGCCTACTACTAAAGTTGTGGATGAGAAGGCTCCCAAGAGGGCCTCTGTATTTTCAAGACTCCCCATGGCACCTGTTGCTGCTCCAATAATTCAAAAGAAAGTTCCTTATACTATGCTATAATTTGTTTACTTGAATACAATGAATCATAACATAATCTAGGATGATGTTCTTGAAGAGTGCAATGCTGAAATTCCTGATGCTAGTGTTAAGCTTTCCAGGAATGCCAGAAGGAATGCCAGCGCTCACTTATGAGCTAATGGTTGGATTCCCAATACACGTCAAGAATCAACACCGCATTTAAAGGCAAATGTACCCACTAATTTTGGTTTTAAACCATTAAAGTGGGTAAAGAGAAATGATGACAAGGGTCAATTAAAGAAGTTTTTATGGTAAAATTCATAAAAGCAG